ATGGTTTGTTCTTATTTTGGTGGTTTGAGCGATGTTGCCACTAGTAATCTTTGTGGCCGACTAGACCGCACACATAACACTTGACAAACTTCCCTTCAGCTTTGGGCTTCCCTGGTTTCTTGAATTTGGTGCCCTTCTGGTGTTTCATCTTCTTGTTTTGATTTCCTCTTTTTGCAGTCTTTTTGAATTTAGACCCTGAGGCAGCACCAGGCTAAATCAAGTTAGCATTAAAAGAAAAATGACCAATAGAGTTAGTAACCTTATCTTTCAAACGGTTAGCTTCCTCTATCTTTATATAGCCCACCAGCTCCTCAAGCAAAATATCCCTCTTTTTGTGTTTGAGAGTGTTGCAGTAATTGGACCAAGACTTGAGTAGCTTCTCGATTAGGACATTGGCTTGCAACACCTTTCACATTTTATTTCCTTCAGTAAGGATGTCGGATATTTTTTTCATAATCAGGGACTTGATCTATAATATGTTTGTCATCGGTCATCTGGAATCTCAATCAATCACCAAAGATGTACTTCTTGAAGCCTGCATCATTAGCGTCATACTTCTTCTTGAGTGTGTCCCAAATTATCTTGGCGTTTCTTTTTCTGAGGAACACGTCGAAGAGCTTGTTCGATATATGACTGAGGAGATGCCTTTACACCATCTTGTTATCTTTCTCATACTTTTTAGCATTAGCGATGACAACAGTAGCAGCGACAAAAGTAACGAAAACATCGGGTAAAGCCTCGCCACCAGCAGAGGTAATATCAGGTGCAATTGAACTTGTCGTCGAAGTAGAAGGTGGTGGTGGCTTCAGCAGCACGTAGTCCAAATCAAGCTGCTCGAAGAAGATTAAAATGCGTTGGGACCACCTTCGGTAATTGGACCCATCTAATGCATCAAGCTTTGAAAGATCGAAAATCAACTTGGTCAATGGTTTCTACATTTTGCAGTAATAAATTTGTTTTTAAATTCTTGGAAATATATTCCGCAAAATAAGACTTTAGTACTGACATGACAAATAAATATAATGAACAAATGACTAATAGAAACCGTGTTATGGTGAAAACCACTGCCTTAGAAACAAATTTGCCCCGATGTGTGTAATCGCTACGACAAGCGGATCATCCCCCGAGGTTAACACAGTCGCTCCGAGAATTCTTACACCCAAAACCGGAGTGGACTACCGGTGGTACTGTTATTCTGATAGTAGCAGAGAAAAGAAACATAGAATGTTTTAGATTGAGAGGATATGTGAGATTTGAGAGTGAGTTGAGAAGCTTAGAAAACCTCTCTATTTATAGGATTAGTTTATGGGCAAAATCATCCACAACAAAATAAGATATAAATCTGATTAATTTCTGAATTCAAACTATGTCTAAAACTCCTATTATAAACGAATGAATCTGACCTTAAAGCAGTCTATATTAGTGCTTTAATTTCCAACCGTTTAAAATCCTTACGAATTTTTGTTCCAAAAAGGTAGAATGCACTCAAACATTTCAAATACACATATTGCCACGTCTATGAGACAGATGGATGGCGACGACAATGCGCGAGATTGTCTCTTATTCTCTGTCACTCAACGAAGGATAGAAGAATGAACACTATAAATACCCAAGCCTAGTGGTATTTCCCACTCAATGTGGGATAGTGTTTTACGCATTATCAACATAGCTTACGGGCAACGAACTGGAAGGATACACTTTTTGCTGTATGGCTCCAGATCTTCCCCTGCTAGAAGAATTATCAGAGATATTCAGGTAAATCGACTGAAAATACTTTAATATGTACAGGGAAATCACTATAAAATAATGTGTTTCTTATTTTAATTCAAAAGGTCTTGATGGTAAATCTGCCCTCCCACATTTCAAGCTCTAAACATGTTCATGCAGATTAAATTACAGCACCAATAAATTCTATCATTTGGATTTCTTTCTGTAAAATGTTAGTCAATGAAAACTTTGTTTCTTGAGCAATTAAAATGATTTGGTGTTTTCATATATGTGTTGTTTCTAGCGGAGTAAATTTCAAAAAATTTAAGGAGATAGTCGATTCAAGCGTTTATATATTTATATATATATATATAACGCATGAAATTGAGTGATTTCAATGATAAAAAAATTGTTATTATTCCTTGATATCTCAGTAGAGACGGAGGGCCTTTGGGGCCCAAGGGTCCTCGGCCCCTGCTACAATTTTTATTTTTTTCCTTACCTTAGTAAGAGTCGTAAAAAACTGCTGCAATTTTAAATTTTTTACCCTAATAGGAGTGACAAGCGTCGTTTTACTTGTCAAAATAAAATAAAACTCTTTGAAAATAAAATAAATAAATGATAAGTAGAAGAGTCGATCCACAGGGAAATTTGGAATCTTTGATGCGATTTATGCTAATTTCAGTCCAAGAAGCTGTAACAAATTAAATGAAAAAAGGGGTGGTAGGAGAACTTAAGATGAAGAAAACTAAATAGAAATTAAAGTAAATAGTTGAACAAAAACAATGAATCAGAAGAAAGCAGTAAATCAAGAGGAAATAAAAGTGAATTTTGAGAATAACAATTAGAGAGAGATCGCCTCGAACTAGCTTTTGATTCAATTCCTTCAATAATATAAATGTATTTTTTCTTCGGGATTCATATCGGTTACAATCTACAAGACCCAACCCAAAGTAACTTGCCCTTCCATCATGTAACCGATCTTCCCAAGTCTATCTTTGAAAGACGATTCTCGAGTGGATTAACCACATATATTTTCGTTAAAACATTCAGATTAAAAGATGGAAAGGCTCGACTCGGATGTTGTCTCGTCGATGATCGATTTCGATCTCGTTTTCCCTTAGCGGACCGCCAGTAAGTGTGTTCACAGAAAGTCGAAGTGTCACAGGCTGATCCTTCCTCCCAACTATATTTTCAAACAATGCTCGGACCAACGTTGACTTTTTGATTCGAAAACGTTTACAAATTATGAGCAAGGCCGGTTGTCAAGTTCTTTTATCCAGAAAAATGAGAATGTATCCTGAAGGGATTTAAACGCTTTGTTTGATTCTCACTAATAAAATCGATTCATTACTAGCTCTCGAGGCTAGGAAATTAGCTAAGCATGATATTGATTATCATACTTAGCATAGGTTTGTAAAATAAAAATAGCTTGGAAAAGTAAAAGAAAGCAAAAAAGGAAAATGAAGACTTTAATTAAAATAGAAAATATCGAAAAACAAAAGTAAGAAGATGATGATCCTAAGCCTTACCCAAAGGAGGGTATTTATAGGCTTCCAAATCTTAAAGATAACAAAGAAATTAAAATAAATTAAAAGATAATTCCTTAAAGTTTCAAAATTAAATCCAAATTCCCTAAAAGCCTCCACTGATCGTGCTGAGCTGTTTCGAGAATATTCTCCGCATGTCTCGGACCTTCTAGAAACGATCACGTCAGATCTGTGTCGTGTCCATGTCTCTAGATGTGACCAGAAAAATAAAAAAAAAGGTGCAGAATACATCTTTTTGCTACTAATTCCAGTAAGCTAACCTTTGCATAGAAAATAAACAAACACAACCCAATTTAACAGTGATATGTTCGTAAAATGAAGAATTTAACAATTAAAAGGAGTCAATCTCAAGCACTAATCAATGAGTCATCAAAAAAATCTAGTACAATTGTATAGGGATTGTGTTTTTTCAAAACCAATATAAATGGAATAAAGTTTTTGTATTTCCAACATACAATATTGTGAAAAAAACCATAAGCACCACAATAAAATTAAGTCTTTTCTACTACGATTGTTCGAAATTTACTGAAGTGATCAAAATTCAATTGAGTGTCAATTTTTAAAGGTAAGCAATTAAGCAATATTATATTTATTATTTTTAATTAGAATTATTTGATCTTATATTTAATTTTAGTATTCGTTTGGGTAATCTAATAATTGTCAAGTTGCATGCTTATCAACATCGAAAGAGATATTACATGGAGCTTTAGTACAACATCACTCGTGGATGCATTTCGAGATTTGAAGGAGTGACACGTTTTATTATAATTATGTGATAGTTATGCCTTTTGTACCTTTTAAAATAATATTTTTTATTATTTATTTTAATTTTATTTTAATTTTTCTATTTGTTATTTCATATAAATAATAGAATTAATATGCATATTTGATATCATCATTTATATTTTTTGAAATAAACAAATAATAAAGGTAAAATTGTATATAAACTTAAAGCAGTTAAAAAGATATGACATATGTTAAGATTAAATTGGGCTTCATCCCTGAGTCTCAGGTTCGAGCACTAAGAATGTCAGAGGTGTAAGCTTTCAAATACTGCCTTGTACTTACCTCAGATTGATAATATATATATATATGGGTAAACTCTAATTACACAATGTAAAACTCTTTTAGTTTTACATTGATTTAGGATCATTAGATGATTGAAAATAGATGACCCAAATTAACAGTAGGATATGTGAAGATATTCACTTGGAAAAAAAAACAATGAGTCAATTTGAGTCATCTATTTTCACTCATCCAATGATCCTAAATCTATGTAAAAGTAAAAAAATTGTACATTGTGTAAGTGGATCCTAATCCTCCCACACACAATGTAAACCTTTTTAGTTTTACACAGATTTAATATCATTTGATGAGTGAAAACATATAGATAAAATTAAAAGTAGAAATGTGAATATATTTACTTAACAATGATAAAATTCATGATTTATGGTTCTTGAGTATTTTCTTCTTTGCTGACTATAAGATATTTGTTTGGAAAAGCATCACATGGGATAATACAAGGGATTGCATTTTTAAAATGTTATTGACTTTGCAAACAAGGGAACCTCGCCTTTTCTCCTTTGACACGCAACATTTACAATTTACGTTAAAAAAAATTTATAAATTATACACGAGTTAAATTATTTCTGTAATTAAATAATAATAATAATATTTTGTAATTTTGACACCGAAAAAACAAACGGCGATAGATTTTGACTATACAATTTAAGAAACAAACACTGATCAATATCGTAAGAAAGAACGAGCAAATGGCGTCCGAGACCTCAGTTGATTACGACCGAACCAAAGAGTTGAAAGAGTTCGACGATACGAAAGCCGGTGTCAAAGGACTTGTCGACGCCGGAATACTTAACATCCCCAAGATTTTCGTCCGACCAGCCGAGGAACTTGACGCCGACGAACTTAACACCGGCCAGAAAAGCATCGAAGTCCCGATCATAGACTTAAGCGACATCGGAGACGAAAACCGGCGTAAGGAGATCGTAAACGAGGTGAGAGTTGCGTCAGAGGAATGGGGTTTCTTCCAAGTGATAAACCATGGGATCCCTTTAAGTGTTTTGGATGAAATGATCGAAGGGATACGTTTGTTTAATGAGCAAGACTTGGAGCAGAAGAAAGAATTTTATAGCCGTGACAGAGCAAAGAAAGTGAAGTTCAGCTCAAATTTTGATCTTTTCACTTCCAAAACAGCTGATTGGAGGGACACCCTGACCCTTTCTTTCCTTGATTCTGATCCTGACCCTTCGGATATGCCCCAAATCTGCAGGTCACTAACCACTAAAATCTCGTTTTTGTTGCTGATTATGGCGCATTTACATTGATTTTGTCTGGTTTTTGTTTGCAGGCGGTCGACAGTTGAGTATATTAAGCATATGAAAAGATTGGGAGAAACTTTGTTCGAGTTGCTATCGGAGGCTCTCGGTCTTCGACCGGACCACCTCGGCTCGATCGGATGTTGTAATGGGAGTAGCTTACACTCCCACTACTATCCACCGTGCCCTCAGCCTGAACTGACATTAGGGGTAAGAAAACATGCTGATCCAGGCATATTGACATTGCTTTTGCAGAACAATATCAGTGGCCTCCAAGTTCTTCATGATGACCAATGGTTTGATGCCAGCCCCACTCGAGGCGGCTTGGTCGTGAACATCGGTGATCTTCTTCAGGTTAGCTTCGAATCAGATAGGCTTCTCGTTCGACTTTTCGAATAGAGACTAACTTCTTATGTTATCATGGTAGGTTTTATCGAATGATAAGTTCAAGAGTGTGAAGCACAGAGCAATTGCCAATCATGCCGGACCGAGAATCACGGTGCCGTGCTTTTTCTCGGGACATGCTACCCTGCTTGAGCAGCCATTCGGGCCGATCAAAGAGCTGATATCGGAGGTGAATCCTCCTCGTTACAAAGAATTCTTGCTGAAGGACTACGTTACCAAGTTCCTGTCTAGCTCGCTTGATAACAAGCCTCCTATAGATTACTACAGGCTGTGAAGCTAAAACCATCAATACCTTGTCTGAAAATTGACAGCTACTCTTTGTAACACCAAACTGAATAAAACAGTGTTTTGTGTTTCGATTTGCAATAAAAAAAGGTTTATGTCATTGCAGTTCATAATTCAACTGCAGTTTTTTATTCTTATGTTCAAGGAAAGTAGTACTTTAGTTCCCAGATTAAATCTGAGCATGATCCATTGATCATTTCTAAGAAAGAGAAAAAAAATGGCATCCAGAACATCCATTGATTCCAACAGAACCAAAGAGTTGAAAGAGTTCGACAACACAAAAGCCGGCGTTAAAGGACTCGTTGTCGCCGGAATACTTAACATCCCCATGATCTTCGTTTGACCAGCCAAGGACCTTGCCGCCAACGAATCGAATTCCGGCCAGAAAAACGATATCGAAGTTCCGATCATAGATTTAAGCGACATCGGGGGTGAAAACCGGCCCAAGGAGATCGTAAATGAGGTGAGGGTTGCATCGGAGGAATCGGGTTTCTTCCAAGTGATTAACCATGGGATCCCGACAAGTGTTTTGGATGACATGATTGAAGGGATACGTTTGTTTAATGAACAAGACTTGGAGTTGAAGAAAGAAATGTATGGCCTTGACAGAGCAAAGAAAGTTAAATTCAACACTAATTTCGATCTGTTTGCTTCAAAAACAGCTGATTGTAGGGACACTTTGACCCTTTCTTTCCTTGATTCTGATCCTGACCCTTCAGCTATGCCACAAGTCTACAGGTAACTAAGCACTAAATCCAATTTTTGCTGCTGATTTTGGTGCAATTTACATTGATTTTTTTTAAAAAAATTGCAGAGGATCAACAATTGAGTATTTTAAACATATGAAAAGATTGGCAGAAACTTTATTCGAGCTTCTCTAGGAGGCTCTCGGTATTCGACCTGACCACCTTAGCTGTGAAGAAACATGCAGATGGTAGCATATTGACACTGCTTCTGCAGAACCATATAAGAGGCCTCCAAGTCCTTCACGAGGGCCAATGGTTCGATGTCCATCCCACTCAAGGTGGCTTGGTCGTAAACATCGGAGATCTTCTTTAGGTTAGCATGGAATCACATCGGTTTTCCATTGAATTTTCTCTACTCGAATCACCACTGATCATGTTTATCCTCTTATGGTTAGATTCTGTCAAATGATAAGTTCAAGAGTGTGAAGCATAGAGCAATGGCCAATCGTGTTGGACCGAGAATTACGGTGCCATGCTTCTTCTCCAGACATGATAGCCTGCTTGACAAGTCATTCGGGCCGATCGAAGAGCTGATTTCGGAGGCGAATACTCCGAGAAACAAAAAATTCTTGCTGAAGGATTATATTACCAAATTTGTATCTAGCTCAATTGACAACAAGGCTCCTATAGATTACTACAAGCTGTGGTTTGATTGAAATTAAAATGAAAATTAGTGGCTCAATTGATAAAAGAGTTTATTACGTTCTTCAAATAAGATAATTTATCATAAATTAAATGAAAACGCGTAAAGAAGAAAAAATTATTTTGAGGAAAAAAAGGTAAAAATGACATTTACTTTTCATGCAGTTTGGCCTTAGTTTTGTCTATCATCACCAACCATAGATAAAATGAAAATTAAATGTTTCAAAGACACATGCAAGCTACCAACTAATTAAAAATGTCACTCAATAATTCGTTGTGTTTCAAATTCATCATTTTTCGTTATAAAATATGGTAATTTGAGTTAAATGTTAACATGTTGACTGATTGATATCAAAATCTCAAACGATATTATATCCCAGCCAGCAGGTTAACGTCCAGCTCAAAGCGTTATCATTTTGTAACGAAAAATGATGAGTTTAGAACAGAATGAATAGTCGGTGACTATTTTATAACTTTTAATGTAAGAGGACTCAAAAACAGATGTCCTATGATTAGAAGAATATTTTGTATCTTTTAATAGTTGGTTTCAATAAAGTAATACCTTATAGTCTGTGCTATGGTGGGAGATTGCAACTTATAAAAGCTATATTGTTTAGTATCTCTAATTTTTTGGGTAGACAACTGATTCTTCTAATTCAAAAAATTGAACAGCTATGTATGTAGTTCTTTTGAAAAGGGAATAATAGCGTTGCTAAAGGTGCGAGAGTTAGTTGGCACCAGTTTGTAATTTAAAATCAGAAGAAGAACTAGAGAACAAGGATCTTCTTTGTTGGAACATATCATGTTGTTTACTACTTATCAAGAGCATTCTTGCAGGGGAGAGTTCGTTGTGGGTGGTCTGGATCAGGGAGTATGCACTAAAAGGTAATGTAACATGCCCAAATTTATTTACTTTTAATTTGACTTTATCTAATTAATTTTTAGGATTAAATTGTGATTTTTCAAAGTTTTGGAATAGTTTTAGGATTTCCTAAAAGTTTAGGGACTTATTCCCTAATTTAACCATTGTAGGTCTATAGAGAAAAAAAAAAGGAATAGGTGAGATATTTTTCAAACATTAAATTAACCCCTACCCACAAGCATGGTGTACCATGCCTTAGCCACTAGGTTAGAGCATTGTCTCAATATTACTATAAACCAAATAATATTTTAAGGGATTCAGATGGGATTTTAAATCCCCAATTTCATCTCCACCAAATCATAATCAACCCGAACCTTAAATTTTAAATCTCCAAAATTATCAAACTTTTCTCGATGTAATTCACCACCTATTTCCACTACCTCCTGTCATCTGTGTTCGACACCGTCACTACCACCATGCTCGTCGTTGACTCGTAATCAAAACCCTTCTAACCTCGTGTTGAGACTCGTTGTGGTTCATCGTGAATCGACCTTCGAATGCTTCGATAATACTAGTTGTCGCCGTGAGCCTCTTTGTGTTTTCGCAACGATTCTGACATCTGGTGACATCAAGCCCCCATCAAAAGATTCCCGGTGCCTTGCGACCAAAACCCTACCGATGGGTTGCTCTGACGTTGTCGTTTTCTTCATCGTCGTCGTAGATGAGGTTCGATCACCTTTTCTTGTTATTTCTTCATATAATTTGTTGATCTTTGGCTTGTATTTGTGTTGAAATGTTGATTTAAGGCTTGGGGAGTAATCGACCGTCGTCCCTCTTCTGTTTGATCACCGCACGCGTCGTCCCTGCGCGTGGGGCTGCTCGGCCAAACTTAAATCTTTTAGAAACTGAGTCACTAAGTCAACTCAGATCGAGTCGACTCGAACCAGTCTAAATCAACTCAGACCAACCCAGATTGTTGACTTTGACTTTGATCAAAAAGTTAAATTTTTTAAAAATTCATATTTTATGTTTTTCGATGTCCCGAGTCTGAATCCGAAGTTTGTTTTCCCAAATTCTAACACGAAAGCCTTCGAATCGAATGTTAAACCCCGAGCATGCATATGTATTTAATTATTTTATTCAAGTGCATTTAAATTAAAGTCAAGGACTGATTTATGTTATTAATTATTGAAGGTACTCAAGACTCGCCCGACCGCTCGTCAGCTTAGCCCAACTCCTCCCGATTCGTTCAGCCTCATGAGCCCATGATTACTTGTATAGTTTCGTAAACCTTATAAATAATGAAATTTAAATATTTCTTCAATAGTAACCCGAATTCATTATGGTTTAGGGTTTAAGCACTGCTATAGAGCATAGCGAGGTCGGTGTTCATTAGACTTTTCAGTCTGATTCCGTTTTGTGAGGTGTGTTCCTTGTGTACTATATAATTGTTTTATCTGTTTTATAATATAACCGATTTACTGTTCTGAAAGACAATTGTTTATGTGATCTGATGTATGAATATTTTATCTGATCAATATCTCGATTCCTATTTAATGATTACATTGTGTTGTTTGATATATGTTCTCTGATTATCTATTTTACTAAGATAATTAATTATCATTTTTTGTGGAATTTTGGAGTTTCTGTATACTGCCTGAACTGTTCATTGGAGTACTTGATAAGTGTTTTATTTAGTTATTATTTTGCTTTTAAATTGCTCCGTAGTCATTGGTTTTTGTGGCTTATTTGTTCGTTTTGGTTCATTTTCTATGCAGGACGCTAGATTCTGGAAATTGTACTAAAATAACATAATTATGTAGTATTTTTTATTTTCGGAATCAAAGTTGGATTAGTGGGCATGAAAAATATGACGATGTGATGATGTCAGCACCTTCTAGAAGGTCCAGTCAGCGCTTCTAGAAGAATGAATGGATCAGACGCACGTTTCTGCAATTCAGATTTGAATTAAACTCATATTTTAAGATATTATTTTAAATATTATATTTTATCTTATCTTTGTTTTAGGTATTTTAGTTTAACTAATTTTAAGTATTTTAATTAGGATTTGTTTCATTATTTTAGGAATTATTTTTACCTTGTTTTTAGGGTTTTGAGGCTATAAATACTCTCTCAAGGTAAGCCTAAAAATATATCTCTCAACTGAGAATTTACTCTTCTTCTCTCTAGCTTTATAAAATTCTCTCTTTTATTTCCTTTCAAGTTTTCGATTTTTTTATTTTATTTTAAAGTTTTGTTTTCAAATATGCTAAGTACTTAAATTGAAAGTTTTTAAACTTTAGCACCAAAATAGGAGTGAGAAGATAGTTAATTGATGAATGATGTAATTTACCAATAAAAATTCAGCGATGTTAAGTTTTTATTGACGAGGTATTAAATTAAAACAAAAACTAAATGTAATGTTTAATTTTAGAAAATTAAAAATTTAGATACTAAAATTAATCAAAATTAATAGTTTAAATACTAAACACTAAATTTACCATTGTATTTTTCAAAATAGTCTGTCACTAGAAATGTTGAAACATTGAGCTGCTGAACTTTGGAATGTTACAAGTTATGGAAAATAAGCAGTTTGACTTGACCAGGTGAAAGACATTGAGTATTTAATTACTCTAGTTATAATATTAAATTTCAACTTTTAACTTCAATTATGTCACAGACTCGTTAAAATTCAAATGGTACGATGACATAGACAAACAATATTGTTTTCGTGTGATTATTGATATTCAAAATGAAATCAATTTAAACAATTTTAGAGGTATACCGATTTTAACACTAAAACTCAATTAAACATTGTTCATATTCGACGGTAAAATCGATATTCTTAAAGTTAGGTGTCTGAAACGATTTTATTTCAGACATCAATAACTGCATCAAAACGATGTCGTTCTATCCATATCATCACAATGATAGAAAAAATCATCTATCATTGCGTCGTTAAAATTTAACCACGTGTGTGTTTTACAGTTAATTGATAAAATCAAACAAGGTTTGCAAAATCAGTGATTTTTACCTTGACCAGCTTAAGGGCAAACCATAAGTCCTACTTCAACCACCATAACATTATTAGCAATAGAAGTTGGTAGCTGTCGGATTCTCTGAATTAAATTGAAGACGACCCTGTTTTGCCATTTTTTATGATATTCATGCTCGACACTCATATTTATATCTCACTCTAACATTTAAATATAAATAACATAAAATTTTCTTTTCATCATTGTTAACCGGGGCGACACTAATTTTAATGTTGGTACATTTGACATGTTTTTATATGTCTTTATGGTACGTTTGTTTATATATTTTGACACGTTGTTCAATCGTTCGATTATTATTTTTACTCATTTTTCTAAGGATTGTTTTGACATGACAATGACTGATTAAGATGACACTTATCTGTTATATCATTAATCTTCCTTGCCTTGGACACTCACATGGATTTGGATACTCATTATGTGTTCATTGATAGATTTTCACGTCGTTCAAGTCTGATTTGTATTTTGTTAATGGTGTTTCAATAGCTTGATTCTCTTTCGTGATTTGTTTGTCGATACAATCAGATCTGTTTATATTTATCTTTATTCGAGTTTCTTGGTTAGGTTTTGACCTTTCTTTTATGATACTAATGTGATCTTTAGTTGCTAGTTTTATTTCACTAATTATTAGAATTTGTCCTAATTATAAGCTTAGTTTACGGTTATGATTATAAATTTTCATTATAATTTAAAACATTTCTTATTTTAAATAAAATTAGTGTATTTACAATAAAACAAAAATTCAGAAGTTTATAAAAAAAAAAGAGGAAGTTGTATGAGCTTTCAATAATGATGGGTATAATCCTAGTTGTATGTCCAAGTCATTATAGTAAATAAACCCCATATAGAAATTCAAATAAAATAATGGTTTTTACAAGGGTTTTAAATTGAACATTTCTATGTCACAAATTTAATGACTCTCTTAATCTCTATGGTCAAAAAAGAAAGAAAGAAACCCCAAAAACTCTGGTTTCAAGGCTCCAAATAAACAGGTGAAAGTGCATTTTTGGACCCTCTACTATGTCCAAAGGAGAAAAAATATCTCTTCACCCTGCTGCTACTGCAACCTTCAACGGGGCTAACGGCGGTCGCTAGCTGCTGGTCCCGGCTCGATCTTATCGCTTCTTGAACGGCTAAAAACAGCTGACGGTCCGCCGAAGAATCCATCGAGATAGACCTTCGTATCGGCTGAATTGCAAATTGTTCGTCTTTGTCTCTAATGTCAATGCATTCATCTCCCATGCTAGTCCCCTTATGGAACTTCCTCGCTTTCTTCGTCAACAATCTTTGGTCCGACTTCCACGGTGGAGGACTAATCGAACGGATCGATAACTCCGCGGTGGAGTTCTCCGAATTCAGTCTTTCTTGTGCCCCAAGCAATGTTTGATGAGTGGAACGGCTAGGGTTGTTATTACCTATTTCAATCACCACAAAGTCTTCGTCACCGTTAATGATGGTCTCGGTGTATGGAATCGGATCTTGCGGCGTCGAGCTCGGAGCGACGACGGGGTCGGCTCGGAACCGACCGTCGTCACTCGAGATACTAGTCCGGCAAAGCGGACAATTCGCATTGTTTTGAAGCCAGACATCTATACAATCGATGTGGAAAACATGGCTGCAATTAGGTATCATCCTCAGCTTCTCGTCCACTTCGAATTTGTTCAAGCAAACAGCGCATTCGCAAAGGCTTCCCTCTCTCGATTCCTTATCAAATCGAAATATCGGGATTCGCCTTATAACCGATTCGTCGAGGCCCCGGTGTTGTCGTTCGATCTCCTCCGGAGAGTACGCCATCAAAGGGTCATCGTGTCGCCGTCGAGACAACGAGAATTGCCGTAAGAGATCGATCCTTCGCCAGTTGAGACAACACTTGATGACGAAGATGTAATAGCTGAGCAACAAGAAAGCTGTAGCTAGAATCCCCAACACGGCGACGGCGATGATGGGGAAACTCGAGTCGTAAGAATGGGGATGAGACGCCGAGATCGAGTTCACCGGACTTGTGGGCGGTGAAAGAGCTTGTGAGAATCTGGTTTTACTTACAAGATCCATTGGAAAAGACAGGGTTGTTTTTTTCCAGACAATGCAAAGAAAAGGGTTTACTTGGATCTTGTCATAGGTTTGAAATCCATTGAAACATCAACAAAAAGAAGCATTGGACGGGTTGAAGATTGGTTTAAAGAGACAGGTGAAGGAGAAGAACATGGAGAAGAGAGGTAGGAACCAGGCAGACTATAAATGAGGAAGGTGCTAAAAGGGGACAAGAGAAAGGTTGCATTATATATTGTATTAACTGAAAATTGTGTAAAGTGAAAACAATCGAATTCTAATCTTAATCCTTATATTGTGTGTAAATTATGGATTTAGTCTTTACATTCTATTTTGACCATTTTTATTCCATTCTTTTTAAAATTTAGGGCAAACCACGTGTTTAATACCTAAATTATCAGTTATGATCCGTTTTAATACCTAGACTTTTATTTTTTTTAAATCATACCTAAATTTTAGTTTTTGTTTCATTTTAGTACACTCGTTCAAAAATTAATGTTATATTTTGAAAAAATAGAAATATTTTAGGTACTAACATGAACCAAAACTGATAGTTTAGGTACTAAATGTATTAAGTTTTTAACTTGTGGTACTAAAATGAAATAAAAATTAAACATTAGATATGATTTTTAAAATTAAAAGTGTATGTACTAAAATAGACTAAAGTTGATGGTTTAGATACTAAATGTGCAGTTTACTCTAAATTTTAAATTTTCAATCTTGACCAAAAGATAAAGGGGCAATATGACTAAACTAGAGGAGCTTAAAATGATCAAACCAAAGAATAGTGGGATTTAATTTAATAGATCGTATAAAAAATTTAAAATTTGAGAAGTATATAGCTCAATTTGTCTATTTTTCTCTTTTTGGAATTTCAAATTTTAAATTATAATTCAAATAATAAATAGATAATAAGATTAAATTAAAAAAGTCTTAAAATAATCAAATTGGATAATAAAAATTAAATCTATAATTCACACATAATACATAAGTAATAGTATAATTCAATTCAATAAATTTCAGAGCTACTGTTTCGGTCAAAATAAAAATTGAAAACGTATATGAGCTAAAAATGGTCAAATTACAGTGTGTGAATTAAATACATAACTTACACATGATACAAGGACTTATTGAAGAATTTGACCAGAAAAGAAAATGAGTCTGAAAGGAGAGTACGTAGTTGGTGGATTTCTCCCTAGTTTCCACGAGAAGTTTGGCTTGGAAAAAAGACTCGGTTCAGACTTTCGGTGTCTCGATTCTTGTACCCATGTATATATATATATATATATATATATATTATATTTTGGTTAAACTAATTAATTAATTAATTACTGAACAGCAGGTATGGGGGAATATAAAATTTGAGGTGGTAGGGGGGACTAAAATGGAATGGATTGGCCCACTACCATCGATGATAGAGTTTGACATCAAACGTATGTGTCACGGTTGGGGACCAGGACCATGACTTGTACGTGGTTTAACTAGAAATCACTAGACGGTAAAGTACACAAATAATCCCTTAGCATAAGATATTTTATTAAATATGTTATCGTTAAATGTTATAAAATGGTCCATCGGTTGTAAGAAGTTACTTTGTTGAGTCCCTTGACTATTAAAAGTTATAAAATTATCACTCGACTATTCATTATGTTCCAAACTCGTCTTTTTCCATTAAAAAATTAACAATCATATGAGTTGGACATTAACATGTTGACTAAGATATGATACTGATAGTCATTTGAGATTATGAGATCAGATTTTATCATATCTCAGTCTGCATGCAAACATACAACTCATATGTCGTCAAATTTTTAAAGGAAAATAATGAGTTTCGAACACAGTGAATAATCAGGTGATCATGTTGTAACTTTTAATAGTTAAGTGACTCAACAAAGTAACTTTGTATAGTCAAATGATCATTTTATAACTTTTAATAGTCAGGGACTTAATAAAACAGTATCCTATAATCAGTGATCGTTTATGTACTTTACCCTTAAGTTTATTAAGCGTTTTAACAGTAAATAAAATAGATCTAAGTAGTTATATTTATATAGCATGGTTACTTTACCAATTGGTTAAGAAATTTTAAACAAATAATAAAATATTTCAACACAAGTACACAACTAGTCAAATAATATATACTAAAATCAAATTGCTTTAAAAGATCCATTGACTTTTTGGTATAGAATGTATACAATTTAAATCATTTTGTATTTTTTTTCAATATTCAAAATATTTAAAACTAATCATTCTTTTAAGCGTTTTTCTTTCTATATCGTTAAAATAAAAAATAAATATTTGTTTACAAAAAGATTTAAGTGAAGGTTGCTCTTCAGCTTAAGGTCAGGGCATACCTACGACCCATTTAAGATTTACGTAAGAATTTAAGCATATTTGTTCACCCATCATACTAGGATTGTTGAACTATTAACAAAGTTGGAATCTAGCTTATGAAATTATATAAACTCAAACCCTAATGTAAAGTGCAAACAATTAATTGGAATCAAGGTTGGCATTTATGGATTGGACGTATAAAATGGTTAAAGAAAAAAAACTTTGTTGACTTTTCATTCACTAATCCTTACATGTCAATCATCATCAACCATAAATAAAAGCAAAAATCAAAGTCTCAAAGTCACATGCTACCCATCAAATAATATTCTCAGGAACAACCGATATCGCTTGATTAATCCATATCGATCGAGTCATACACTTAATTTTTGTGATTGAGTTTTTCAAAAGAGATTTTCTACGTACACAAGAACTCAAATTTGAGACTTGTTTAAATGATATCAAGCTGTTTACCACTTAAATCAACCTCGTTAATAGATAATATTCTTTTTTACTATTAAAATTTTTAATAAATTCGATATAATATATTTCGTAGTCAAACCTGGTGAACTATGATCCAAAACTTCTACTTAAGAGGGAACAGAACCGACAATCTATCTCTGTATTTGCGTGTTGACAAACCAAACAACGTGTGTAAGCTGCCAAAGGTAAGAAAAATAGTCCTTTTTCATGTTTTTCCTTTTAGTCAAAGGTTGTGTACCCCATCTCTATAATGACCCAAATGTATCGATGAATCATTTTTTTATGAGAAACGAAATTTTGTTCACGTCATTATCGTACGAATTATATTAAGGTTTAAAGTTTATGATATAAAATTTAAGATAATCTCGGATAACTGTTATTGATGTTATGATTCATAAAACTACATGCAAAAACGTTGTTTAAGTAATGACTTAATTATCAAATAAAGGTTAGATTTTATTGTTTTTCTCAAATATATGTCTAATTTCTTTTTAATAATATATGTGTCTAACGTTATAAACATTACCACTTTAAGTGTCTGGGCCGTAACAACCGTTAATATCACCATTAAGTGACATCGTCACGTTGTGGTGATTTTGAAATTTTTTATTTAAAATAAAAAACTTAAAAATATAATTTTATTTTTAAAAAACCCAAAAATTTGAAAATATTCAACAAAACCCCGAACTTTAAAAAACTTTATTCCAATCCCTACATCCACACCGGTCACCCTCGTTCATCGCCACTGCCGTCGATTAATCTCCACCCGATCGCATTGCCTCTGATGACACAACCACCACCCGAGGAGTCCCTAATCGATGATTTAAACCCGACGAAAATAATACCAAAATCACAAAATTGAAGCTATTCGATGACTCCGACAACATGGGCAAGATCACTGACAATGGAGATGACAAAGATGGCGATGATGTCAATGGTCGTGGTCAGAAAAGAAGAAATTAGGGTTAGAGTTAGGGATTTATGGATGATTGTTGGGATTTATGATTTTTTTTGTAATTTTAGAAAAAAATAATTTTTTTTATAAATATAATAATATTTTTAAGTTTTTTTTAATTTAAATAAAATTTTCAAAAGTTTATGAAGGTTACATGTGTCCTTCAACGGTCGTTATAGGCCAGACACCTAAAATGATAATATTTATAACGTTCGATACCTGGATGATTAGAAAAGAGTTTGAGTACTTATTTTTAAAAAAGCGGTATAATTTAAATATTTATTTTATAATTAAGCCTTAAATAATTTACTGTGAATAAAAAAAACCCTAATCAATATAACTTGAAATTTATTTCGGTCAGTTTTCTTCATTCTCTATTATTGCTGGCAATTTGCAATATTCCTTTGTCAATGTGTCCAAGTAAAGTTTTTATGATTCGACATTTCCACCACAAATATATATTTATTTACATATAAAATAATTATTTCACAATTTAATTCAGCTCGTCCTTTTTACTTCCATCACTGCTACGCCACAGTTACCTCAGCTTTTCCTTCAAGTGATAATCTCAATTTTCTTTTTGGCTAAACTACACTATTGGTCACTAAAATTTGAATAAATTGTTGAATGTAGTCAAAATATAATTCAGGTCACAATCTCTTTGTAATTTCTACATTTATAATAAATTGTTGGTTTTTTATGTGGAGACAGACAAAGGCGATCTCTTGTGTGTATTTTATTTCATGTTGATTTCGGGTTCATTACTTTTTGTTTACAAATTCTTAATATATGGTATTAGAACTATGGTTCAAGTTATTCAATGTCGAATGAATCTGTCATTGCGAATTTTATTAATGATATTAGAGAAATACAAAAGGAACTTTGTTGCAGTGAGTTTTTAGTTACATGATAAATAATTCTCAATCGGTCCAATTTATGCTTCAATGGATATTACACAAGAATCAAAGTCGAAGACTTAAAAATGACGTTTCAATAGACATTTGGTTTATGTAAAAATTGAAGTTATTGAAGACTTATGTCTAGACGGAATTTGTGTCAATTGAGAGATTGTTATGTATTAACTCAAATTTCATTTGGTCATTAAGTTAGATTTTTGTTATAATGCTAATGGTTGAACATTACTTGATTAAATTTATTTAGGTAAGTAAAGTAAGTATTCTCGATGAATAAATTTATTTTCTCTATAAATATAGATTAAACCCTAACCTTTAAAATTATGAAAGATAATTATAATTAGGATATATTTTATTTTTTCTTAAAAATATAGATATTACCAAATTACGTTAAATTTGTCTTTCTATTTTATGTTGGTTTTATATTGTTTACTTTTATGTGTATAAATTTCTAGGATAAATTACGTATTTAGTACATAAATTATCATATTTGATCTATTTTACTATCTAA